AGCGGTCCATGTGGATACTTGTGGACTTGGGCGGATGGCAAAGTGTACATCATTCAAACCCTTGCAGACCCTTGTTGGAAAGAATAAATGGGCCGTAATGTATCACTGTGAGCTTGTCAAATACAATGTGTTTTTTAATCTGTGTGGTTTCTGTTTTTTTTTCTTGATTCCATAGAACACAAGCACCTCCTGAAAAATGCTCAGCTGGAGTTGAAGAAAAGCAAACGGAAAGATTACTACAAGGTTCTGGGAGTGGATAAAAACGCCACGGAAGAAGAGATCAAAAAAGCTTACCGCAAACGGGCGCTTTTACATCACCCAGGTGATTGAGTTCTTCTGACCGTACAACAACTATTGACCATTTGCCATAACGTGTTGTGATGTACATTTCTAAGTTGTGGCCGAGTTACCGTGACATGAAAGAATAATTACAACTTATAATACAAATACACATTTCTGAAGACTATTCTCTGTTTTTCTCTTCTAGATGGATAAAGTTTTGTTTTGTTCTCCTTCAAGTTTTTCGTTGCTTTGTGTAGGATTTCTTCTTCCTTGTTTATTACAGCCATGTAACCTATAGCGCCACCTGCTGACGACACTGAGCAGCCTAGTTTATTCGCTAGAAAGCTGTTAATGTAAACTTAACCTAATTCACTGTTTTTTGGGTTTTTTTTGCGACATTTTGAAAATTCTAATCAAATTCGCAGCTCGTCAGTGACTCGAATCTTGACTAAACTCCCAATCAACTTTCCACCCTCCAACCTCTACGAACTGCACAGTTGACTCTATAACATATGAATAAAGTATCCTCTGCATAATGATAATAATAGAACAAGCCTAATTCACGTTTTTTTGTTTCAAAGATTTGCTTGAACTTCACCTGATAATCCTATGGAAACAAAGCTACTGTGATATTCTACACACAAATACTCAACTACTAAACATTAAAAAGCGCTTTTTTTGTTTTTGTTTTGTGTCCTGTTTTTCCCTTCAGATCGTCACAGCGGAGCTAGTCCTGAGGTGCAGAAGGAAGAGGAGAAGAAGTTTAAGGAGGTGGGCGAAGCTTTCAGCGTTCTTTCAGACCCAAAGAAGAAATCTCGCTATGACAGTGGACAAGATCTAGAGGATGACGGCATGAACATGGGAGGTAAGATCTCGAACTTCACCACATGTCAACCAATATGTGTTTATTCAGCCAGGAGTTATTCCTAATATTAGTGGTAACCGATGTACAGTTTCAGCAGAAGTGAAAATTTTGATGTCAAAATTTAGACAAACACAAACTCCAACACAAATCTGTGTTGGAGTTCTTTTGTTTCTCTGTATTTCTTGTTTAAAGAGAACTTTATAACATTTATGTTTCAGTCGTGTCAGGCTGTTACTCATGCTAATGAGATGTACGATGGAAGGAAGGAAATTCTTTAATCAGATTGTGCTGTGGTCTTAGCTCAGGCCCACAGCGACTACAGATAGAGCTGCATCAGAGCCAAAATCAAATAAAGTCCAACATTTTATTTGCAATCTGTTTTTTTTTAAAAAAAAGCAGAATATCCGATCTGATTCAGTCAATACCTGAAAACTAGTTCACTGTTTCTGTTGATTTTAGTTTTTCCTGTCTCTGGCAGAGTTTGATCCCAACGTTTTCACAGTTGTTAAATGTATTCGACTTGAATGAAATAAATTGGAATTTCACTTTTTTTTTTTTTTTTCCTCCCACATGTAGACCACATTAGCCCAAAAACATTCCAGGTCAAGAACTAAAGCCAGTCTCTCTATATATTATCAAAATGGGACTAGAGTGTCTCTGAGACTTCAAAAACGCCGTAAATTCTTCTCTTTGTTTTGCATTTTTGCAAACCAAATGAAGATTTTAAAAAATAATTAACTTCCCTTCATTTCGTCTCCAGCAGAGTTTGATGCCAACAACATTTTCAAGGCGTTCTTCGGAGGTCCGGGAGGTTTTAGTTTCGAAGGTAATTTCCGTTTTGTTTTCATAAAAAAGCTGCGACGCTCACATTTTGAGAATACTGCAAACGTATAGGAGTCACTAATTATGATTATTTTTTGTTATTTTCTAGCATCCGGACCTGGAAATTTCTTCTTTCAGTTCGGTTAATCGGACGACTCGTCTACCTAAACAGCTACTACATCAGGACTTTTCAACAATGTCGACCCCTAAACCCACCATCCGTATTTAATGACTGACTGATCGTGAGTCAGATTCTTGTCTATGCCATTGACTGAATGAATGCAACCCAATGACCACAGGCAGCAAAATGATTTAACGCCCGTATAGCAAAAGGACACCAAGGTGGCTCCGACTGAGTTGGTAGTGTTACTGGTTTTTAGTTTTCTTCCTTCCAGAATGAATCAAACTTGAAAGTCAGTAATGACTAACAACACTGGTCCAAATATATTCTCTGGAGTTGGGAGTTAGGAGAGATGTGCAGCTATCAGAGCTTTTTAGGGATCCAATGCAGGACGAGTGCCATCCGGGGGGCAAAACTCTTGAGATGCAACCGCACGCTTTTACCCTGCTCATCTCAACTTATTGCTGAGGGGGTTTTTTTCTCTGCATGAAACTTAAGAACTTGCTCACTGATTTCTGAGGAAAAAAAAATCACTGAGCAAGGAGCACCTCCCTCTCCTCTTTTTGTTTTTGAAGAAATCTGTCGCACAGACAGACAGTTGGCTGCTACGAATTCGCACTGAAAACTGCCTCGATCATTTTTTAAAATTGACAACAGCTGGAGTCTAAAGCTACACTCACATTAACACACAGCGAAGCACAGTAGAAAAACATGGCGGCTGTGCTGGTTTTGTTGCCGGCAGAGTCCCCCTCGTTCCTTTTCTTGTTGTCACAGGTTTTACGTTTGATGTTGCCATTCACAGATTGCTGCATTGTACATTTTACTGGAATGTAAAGTGTTGATTTGTGATGATAGTTGATTATTTTTTTTTCCATTTTTTTTTTTATTTTCATATGTATATTTATTGTAAATTTTGCTGTCTGATAGAAGCATCGGCGCGAGATGAAGACGCTCTTCTGTTTGACAGAGATTTTAACGAGGGGAGGAAAAAAAAAAAATACAACCTCAGGAAGGAAATTGTTTTTCTCAGCCTGCATGAAATGTTACAATTGAATATGCTGTACGTGTTACTTGAATGTGATGCAAGCTGTCTAATTTTACTCAATTTAACGGATAGGCGTAATACTGAGAATATCACAATATAGTCTGAGAAAGTTCAGTTACTTCCTGATTAGTGCACCTGATGAAGAGGAGAAGAAGAAGGGCGTCCTCATCTGTGTTCTCATTGTTTTTGACCTTTATGGTGAAACCATCCTCTCTTTACCCTGGAAAAGTACCAGCCGTGTCAATAAAGTTGGCCTCCTCTGGGTTTCCCCTAAATTAATTTCTTTCAGTTTGGATAACTGCACAGAAAAAGCCTAAAGGTTTACATACGAGGAGGACGACTGAAGCAAACTCAGCTACATTTTAATATTGGATGATGGAGTTGATGATAAATTTCTGGTTTTAAAATAAGAAGATATTCTTAAAATGCTTTTGTAAATAACTTTCAGTAGCTTTAATATGTCTAATAATATGAATATTATTTAATTATAAGATTATTCATCCATTTTATGATTATTATTATGAATCAGAAATATACTGTATACATGGATTAAATTGTGCCTTCAGTGTCACAGCATCACAAACTTGCATGCAAATCTATTTTCAGTGTCGCGCTCACTTGTGCATAATTTACAGAGGGGATATCATTAATTATGTTCTGACATGCCACTATGATGATAATCTTCATTTGTAGAGCACAAAGTGTTTCCCCAGGCAGCAAAATAAAACATCAGAATTTAAATGTCAGTTAAAAATACAACATGTTGTATAAAAACAGCAGTTTGTAAAAGAATAAAATAATTAAAAGACAGTCCAAAGTCAGGAAAAGCACTCGGATTAAAGTATGTTTTGACTCAGCCGACCTGATTTCCTCGGGCAGATCTTAAGTCATCAGTCTAAACGCTGCACAGATTCACAGTTTCTGAAAACTTTGGGCTGAGCTCAGCAAGATTATCACAGTCAGTTTTTTTAGTTTTGCTGCTAAGATACAGTGATAATGTCACAGAAAGTCAGCCTAATACTGAAAACATGAGCTAGGATGAATAGAACTTTATTTATCCCAAAAGAAACTCTTGTGCCAGGTAATGCTCGGAAAACAAACTGCATAACGTGAGAATTAAAAAAAATGTAAAAAAGCAATAAGATATGAATCTGATCATCACTGAGAATAAGATAAGTACGTTAAAATAAGACCAGAATAGAGAAGCAGGAAGTAATATTGCACATGGTAATAAAACACTATGCTTCAAATGGAAATATTGGAGATGAGGTAGAGTATTGTCAATTACTCATGACAACAAAACAATGCACATTAAATTGAACATGAAGTTTTACACAGGGATAATTGAATATTGCACATGAAATCGAATTGATTTTGAAACATTGCACAGAATAGTAAACTATTACATTTAAAAATATTGCACCTAAAATTCAAACGTTGCACGTGATAATGAAATACTGCAAATCCAGCTGTTATATTGAACATTATATTGAAAATGGACACATGCTAATGAAAGCTTGCGCATGAAAACCGATTGTTGCGTGATAATAATGAAAGACTGCACATGAAATACTGATGTAGATCATGGTGCAGTTGGATTAATGGAGAGATATACGTGTTTAATGTGTCGCAGGAGTTGTTTCGAAACCATAGATGTCATGTAAGCGCTCATATAAACTGGTGTGTGTGTGCAGTGCAGTGAGCGGCCTGCAGGGGGCGCTGCTTCCCCGCTGCTGCATTTAAACAGCAGGCGCTTTGTCTGTGCTGTTGCTAGGAGACCAACTGCCGGAGTCTGTGTTTGTGCTGGAAGACGCTAAAACTCACCTTGAAAAACAGTTAAAAGTGTGTGGAGAGAGAGAAAAAAAATGTCTTCCTCGGACAGAGACCCGAAGCCAGACGTTTTCTCTTCTCTGGTGGCGGAAGGAGGCTGGCTGCACCAGAAGGGACAGAACCGGAAGGCCCTGGACAGCTTCACCAAGGTGGGTCTGGAGGCAGCAGCTACACGAGACGCTCTCATCATGTACATGTACCGCCTGACTTTGTCTGAAGCCACTTTCAGTTGTGTGAAAGCTTTATTCTGCTTGTGAAAATTCAGAATGAAGGAGACTTTTTTTTTTCCACATATAAGCCACATTAGAGCAGGTCCACATCTACAACAAGTAAACGTTAGAATAGAATGAATAGAATGCCTTTATTGTCACTATACACATGTACAATGAGATTAAGAGCAGCTCCTACAGTGCAATATAGAATGAAAAACAAAATAAAATAAAGAGCAAAAAAATAAAATAAAATAGAAGAGATTTAAATATAAAAATAAGATATATACAGTATAAGTTATATGTACAGTATGGGTTTAGAAAAATATTGCACAGCATAGTCATTGATGATATTGCACATTTATAGAGTTGACAGTAGGTGGATGTGGGGTAGATCCGGGGGGGCTGGGGTGGACTGTGATGTCAGTGCATGTGTGAGTTCAGAGTGGTGATGGCTTTTGGGAAGAAGCTGTTCTTGAGTCTGTTTTGGTTCTGATGCACCTGTAGCGCCTCCCTGAGGGCAGCAGGTCAAACATGTCAGAACCAGGGAGGGAGTTGTCCTTGATGATGTTTTTCGCTCTACTGAGGCAGCGGGAGGTGTAGATGTCCGTCAGGGAGGGGAGAGGGCAGCCGATGATCTTCTGGACTGCCTTTACAACTCTCTGAAGCCTCTCCCTGTCTGCCACGGTGCAGCTGCCGTACCATGCTGTGATACAGTAGGTCAGTAGGCTCTCAATGGACGAGCGATAGAATGTCAGCAGCAGGGTGGGGGTCAGGTTGTGCTTCTTGAGGACCCTCAGGAGGTGAAGCCGCTGCTGCGCCTTCTTGATTGTCGCCGTGGTGTTGTCTGGTTTGAAGTCAAACTAAACTGACCTATAGGGGATAAATCATCTTAAAGGCAAACATTCTGAGTCGTTAAAGATGTGAAAATGCCCACAACTGGAGATTTCACTATCTAGCCCACATTAGACCTGATTCAGATCTAAAACCACAGTTCATGAACGGGTTAAATATGTGCTAGATTCTTTGTGGACGGTTTAAAAGTCTTTGAAGTACAGCTCCTGGGCTGTAAAACGTTTATATATATATATATATATATATATCTGGACCACATTAGACCAGTTCCAGATATGAAATTGTTCTACATATATGGGTCAGATCTGGACTAGTCTGTCTCAAAGAGGCTGAAGTGTCTTCAAAATGAAGTTTCTGATTTGTGAAGCTTAGGTGAACCATTACCGCTGCCTTCAACACACTTTCAAATGTGGGAAACCTTTATGTTGGTTTAAAAAATGCAAAAAAAAAAAAACAAACAAACAAACAAAGGACATTTCACTGCATTTTTTGCATCTGAACCACATTAGACCAGGTTCAGATCTACAACAACTACACTTAGATGACCCTAAAAGACTAAAGAGTCTTTGAACCACAGTTTCTGGTGTGCAAAACCTTTTTTTCTACTAATGAGAATACCAAAAAAAAAAAAAGAGACTCTACAGTGTTTTTCACATGTAGACGACCTTAGACCAGATTCAGATCTAAGAACAGTTCATTCAGATGGGTCACATTTGGACTAGTCTGTCCCACAGAATTTAAAGTGTCTTCAAAAGACAATTTCTGACTTGTGAAACTTTTGTGAAAATGCCAAAAATGGGAGACTTTGCTGTTTTATTTTGTTTTTTTTCCTGACCATGCCCAGATCTAAACACACTGTGCTTAAAAAGGTCAAATCTGTTTGTTTTTGTCCCATATTTGTCCCAAAGAGGCTAAATATTCTTTAAAACACAGATTTCTATTTGTGAAAATGTAGAAGAAGAAAGAAAGTGTGATGCACCGCTACACATTAGACCATGTCCAGGTCTAAAATCACAATACTTAAATGGGTAAAATCTGGACTAGACTGTCTTACAGAGGCTAAATATTATTGAAAGCATATTTTCTAAGTTGTAAAACCTTTATTCAATTTGTAAGTGCAAAAAAAAAAAAGATTTCACGGCTTTTTCTGTATCTGGAACACATCAGCAGATCCACATAGACAACCACTCTACATATCCTCAAACCTACCTACCTCACCGATCAAATCTGGACTGAGTTGTGAAAAAAACAGCAGTAAAATATCCCCTTTTTACATTTTCACAAACAGAATAAAGATTTCACAGATTAGTAAGTGTATCTTTAGTCTCTGAGAGACAATGTAGTCCAAGTTTGACCCCTCTAAGCACAGCGGTGTTACACCTGGACCTGGTCTAATGTGTTTTTTGTCTGTTTCTTTATTTGCATTTTCACAAAAGTAATGATGATTTCATACAGAAAGCATATTTAGCCTCTCAGGGACACGTTAGTCCCAAATTGACAGTCTATATATGTTTGTTTTCTATCTGGAACTGTTCTAATTGTGATCCAGATGTGAAAAATGCACAGAAAAGTAACTTGCTATTTGTTTAGGCTCTGGCTCTAAATCCTGACGACAAGAACTGCTACGTTGGTCGATCCGGATGTTACCTGAAGATGGTGCAGTATGTCAAAGCTTTTCAAGAAGCCGAAGCCTCACTGACAGTGGACCCAACATTCCATGAGGTAAATGTTTATTTCTTGTACTGTTAATACTGTAAGTAGGGAATACTTTATAGTATATAGTACTTTGTTTAAATGTATATAGTACTTTGTTTAAATTATTTGTATTTCTTGCTGCTATTGTCGTGTTCTTCCACACAAGTTTCGTTGTACTCCTGCACAATGACAATAAAGTCTCTTTATCTTTATCTTTATCTTTCTGTATGACATCATGTTTGTTTTTTAGGGAATACACATGAAGGCGGAGGCGTTGTACTACATGGCAGAGTTTGAATTTGCGCTGGTGTTTTACCGCAGAGGACAAAAGCTGCATCCACTAAGCCATGAGTTCAGACTGGGCATCCATAAAGCACAGGAGGCCATAGAGAACTCCATCGGCAGTAAGTGATGTGTGAATCATCTCATATTAAATCTTTTTTCAAATCTGAACCACTTGTTTGTTCTCATCTTACAGGCCCGTCCTCTGGACAACTGAAGAATGAGGGAGACCTGTCATTCTTCAGAGAAGATGAGAAGGTGAGTCTTTAGAAACCTGAATTCAACATTAGTGATAGAAGCATACGTGATAAATCTAAAGGATCGATCCTGTCGGCTCACGTTGACAGTTTCTGTATCATTCTTCTTCTTCAGAATTGTTTTTCGGCTGTATGGTGGAGAGATTGTTTTCATGGAAGAAAACTTCTAAATATGTAACTTTGATACACACAGATGAGTTTTTGGAGGTTAAATCAATAACCAGAGAGAGATTTTTTTTAAGATCGTGTAATTCTGGACAGTATTTGTGTCTTGATCAGGATCACGGGCAGTTTCTGCAGAGAAATATACAGTTGAAACCAGAAGTGTACATACACTGTATAAAAAGACATAAAACCTTTTTTTATTCTCCCTATCTGACATCAAATCAGACTAAAGTTTTCCTGTCTGAGGTCAGTTAGGATTACCAAAATCATTTCTATTTGCTAAATGCCAGAATAATGAGAGAGAGAATTTTTATTCCAGTTTTTAATTCCATCAAACTATTATGAGAAGCTTGTGGAAGGAAAACATTTCATCCAAGTCATACAGTTTAAAGACAATGCTACCAAATACTAAGGAAGTGTGTGTAAACTTCTGACTTTGAAGAAAGTAATAAAAAAAATTCTCAAAAAAATCTTTCTCTCATTATTTTGGCGTTTAGCAAATAGAAATCATTTTGGTAATCCCGACTGACCTACAACAACTTCAACTTTATTATTTGTCCCTTGAAGGGTGATTTGTTATGCAGCAGCTTACACAAGCGTTCACAATAAACACACAATGAAGACAATAAAAAAAAAAGATTAAAGGACATTTTTAAAAATGTTCAAAAAAAAAAAAAAATTTAAAAACACAATAAAAACAATTAAAAATCACACAGAACACAAGACAGACAGGGACATTCCTGCTTGGTGATGAATCTGTTGTCGAGCTGGTTGTTCAGAGTAGCTCCCTCTGCCTCCCCATCGTCTCCTCACCTGTTTGTCTTCCATCCTTCCTTACCTCTCAGCCCTCCTAGCCTTGACACCCTCTGCCTCCCCCATTCTCCTCACACATTCTCCCTCCATCCTTCCTCACCTCTCAACCCTGCCAGCCCTGACTCTCCATGCCTCCCCCGTTCTCCCCCTTCTCCTCACACATTCTCCCTCCATCCTTCCTCACCTATCAACCCTGCCAGCCCTGACTCTCCATGCCTCCCCCATTCTCTCCCACCCCTCCATAACCCCCTCCATCACGGGGTTCATTTAATGCAATAGGTGCCAACTTATTGATGAGTTATTGAAAGTGCAGTGTCAGTAAAGTGGAACATTCACAAAGTTTCAGGTTGTACAGTTTTCACAGTGTCATGTTTCTGAATGTCTCACAGGAAAAAAGAGCTCCGCCATTTTCTGCGATTCAGGATCTGACAAAGGAGGAGAAACAACAGACTCCGAAAACCCCGAAAAAGGAGAAGGTGAAAAAACAGATCCTGGGAGAGCTATACGATGACAGGAAATTCCTGGAAAGTCTGATGAAAGATGAAGGTACTGAGTTATTTTTTTACATCATTTCCTGACTGTTTTCTGTTTGGTAACAGAATCATTGCAACCGAGCCGTCTGTCACTTCTGATGGTATTTAAAGCATGAATATATTGATGTGCAGATTTAATGAAACTTCAAATGAAGGACGGCGAGCAGCTGGGGGACAGCATCCAGAGCTGCATCTCGCGCCTCGACATCTGCGTCGATTTCTGGCTGCAGGAGAATCCGAGCTGTGTACAAGAAAAGAACCAAAAGGTCCCGCAGCAAAAACCCAGCAAGCCTCGTCACAGTGCGCCTTCTGAGCATGCTCAGTTTCTGATGAAGAGCCTGAGTGACATAGATGCAGGTAAGACAGACTTCTGGTTGGAACATCAAGCAAGTTTCTGGGCCTCATTATTATTTGTTGTTTCTGTCTCATTTTTCCTCACTGTGGCTCATTTCTCACTGCAATATAAAGTCCTGCACCGCTACGGACACAGAACAACCATGAAGAGGGAGAGAGAACTCAGAAAGTTTGATACAGAATGACCAAATTCATTTTGCAAAATACTGAAGAAAGAAAAAAAAAATTTGAATTAACATGTACATTTTTCAAAGTGTCTGCTGAGGTTACCAGAACTGAAAAAATATGGATCTACATGCTATAAATACAATACAAACGCACTTTCTCCCTCCTCTGTAGAAAGATGTTCACCACGCTGAATGTACAGTCGTCCTCGCATGTATTCATACCCGTCCATCGAAGAAAAGGCAAAATTCACAATAGTCACTCAAATAACTAGAAACTCAAAAAAATAATAATACATAAAAATTTGCTAAATTACAATTTAGCGAAATAAGACGTTGCTTTTGAATTGTGGTTAAAAAGAATAATTTAAAAAAAACAAACAAAACTGTCCCAGACAAATTAAAATCAAATTAGCTTTCAACAGGTGCAGAAGTCTGATTGAGAGTTACAGGAAACACTTGATTGCAGTGATTGGCTCAAACAGAATGTTAGTTTACGGTGTTGTTGTTTTTTATATATATATTTCTGTTGAACCACAATTCAAAAGCAATGTCATGACTTTCATCAAATTTTTATTTATTACTACTTTTGTCAGTTTCAACTTATTTCAGCTGTTTGAGGACGACTGTATCTTCCAACTACTTACTCCTCTGTGTGCTGTGTCTGAGCCATGCTGCATTCATGACATTGATCCTGTATATTTTATTTTCCTCATGTCGTCTCCTCCCTGCTCTGTGGAAACACTGCCTGCAGTTCAACCAAAAACGTTTTGTCACTTGACTCTCAGTCACAACTGAGTCAGTTTGGTTGCACCAAGGAGCACAGAATTTTCTCTTTGTAAAGAATCTGATGGTTTATTTTAGCACTCTGTCTTTCTCGTGAGGTGTGTAAAATAAAGTGATTTTGATAAAATACCTTGATTTTAAGCTTAGATTTGGGTCATTTTTCTCAGTGAAACCATATGTCATGTTTGATACCGACCCAGAATATCTTTTACATCACCAAGGTCACAGATTAGTCACTAATGGTTGTGTCAAGGAGCACAGAATTTCTCCTTTTTAAAGAATTTGGTTTGTTCGAATGGTCTGTTTTTGACAAAGTTTACCAACGAAAATTCAACAAATTTATTCTGTTTTCACAGCTTCTGGTTCTTATGAATGACTTACTGACAGAACTGCTTGTCACAATGATTAGTTCAAGAAACATCCATGTGTTGAAAATAAAATGATTCTGACGTCTTTCTTATGGTTTCCAGCTCATGCAGGGTTTAATTTTGGTGATTCTTTTGAAAGAAAATATGTCTTTTAAACCCAGAAGTGCTCACTGTGTGTTTGTCATCGTAGAGTTGGAATGTGGAAATGCAGAAGTCAGCCTGAAGAAGGCTGAAGACGTGATGAAGATCGTACAGAGGTGTTCGGAGAAGGAGGTTCCTGATAAAAAACAGATCATGGGTAGCCTGCACAGCTGCATGGGAAAGGCTTGGTTTGACCTGGGAGACATGGACAAAGCTTTGGAGCATCATCAGAGGGACCTGGAGGTCGCTGAGCAGTGGTGAGAATCTGAAGAAAGCTACACAACTGGAGTAAAAGTTTTGTTCATGATAACTAGACAAGAAATCTTTCTCACCAACAGCAAACTCCCAGAACCAATGTCCAGAGCTCTGGAAAACATGAGCCGCGTTTACACTGAGACCGGACAGTTTGAACTCGCTGTTGACTGGTGAGTAAATCATATCAAATGCGTTTATGTTTCACACTGAAATGTGCATTTATTTCATGTTTTTCTTTCTGTGTTTGCGATCCAGCTGGCAAAAGAAGGTTCCTTTGGTTCGCGGGGCTTTGGAGAAGACGTGGCTGTTTCATGAACTCGGTTGCTGTCACGTGATGCTCGACCGACTTGAAGAAGCTCGAGACTTCGGCCTGCAATCAGCCGCCGCCGCCGCCGAAGCTGCAGATGAGAATTGGCAAATACATGCCAATGTTTTGGTTGGACTATCAGAATGTAATTATTTCTCAATTTCTCCATATTAACATCAGGAAATTCCTCATACTTAGAGACACACTCGGCTGCTGTTTTACTTTTTCTGCTGTTTAGTGCTGTAAAAGCATTTCCTTGTCTTTTTACAGCGAAGCTCGGAAACTTTGAATCCGGCATCTCTTACTTTGAAAGAGCTTTGACTCACGCCCAACGTCAAAAAGACGACGCCGCCATAAATGCCGTTCAGAAGGTTCCTCTCTGCCGTCATGAGCCTCACTTTGCTGCCTTTTTAGCTCCATTTAAAGACATTTATAAGTGCTGACTTGTATTATTTTGCTTTCAGGCTCTGGAGAAGGCGAAGCAGCAGCGTCCTCACAGTGCAGACTAAGGAACAGCAAAAGAAGGAGATATAAACCGTGGTGATGCTTATATCATCAGTTTGTGAGCGTGACACGGATCTCACAGTATTATAGACAAGAATTCATTGTGTAAAGGTGCACTGTTCTCTCGGGAATCTACATGGGGGAAAAAAACGCAATTAAAAGTTTAGTTTTTGATCTTTTTCCCATCTCAGGAATATGCTGTGTTCTAATTGTCAAAGTTCCATCTGCAGTCATTGATTAAACCCTTAAAATTACATTTCTGTACATTGGTTACATATTTAGTTTGTTGTTGTTGTTTTGCCACAAAAATCAGAATCCAAATTGGGTTTTTTTTGGCAAGTAGGTTTTTACATATGATGATCTAGACTCTGTTTTTGGATGCATTACAGAAAATGAGAAAAAAGAAAAAAGCAAGTGTTGCAGGTTAAGTAAGAACCAAAAAAAAGCAAATACAGAGATGATAAAAGTAAAAGAAACACTGACAGTGTGCCCGAGAGGTCAGACAGCTTATATTGTTAAAGGATGATGATGAATCTGTTTAAAAGGCTGTATGTAAATTGTTGCATTTTTCTTGGATTTTACTGTTTGTTATGTGTAATTTAAATGGAGAAAAGTTAGTAGTAAAGAGAAACACAATAAAAACCATATATGACTTTTAATATGAATAAATGTACAGTTTCTTTTACTGCTTCTGTGGACTTTGTGACTCGATTTTCACCAGAGGGGCTCTTTAATATTCTAAATTGCAGTTGGAAGCTGTTCGTGAGGCTGCGTGTTTGTTCAGCGTGTCACTTTATACACAAAATAACGACTAATTTCATGACACACTTTGACCTAAATACTGCAACCAGCTTAAATAAACAGTCGCCTGCTGCATGTTGCACTTCTGACACCTCTTGTTAGTCGACCCACACAGTGTGATTTACATACAGACAGCTGCTTCCTGCACAGCTCCTGCTAACATCAGTTTGTCGATAGATCAGACGCGCGGTCGGAGTTCAGTCCGTGTCCGTGTTCTCCTTTTTGACGGCACCTCTGTTTGTCTGAAAGAGAAAACAGCCTTGTTCCTGAAGTCTTAAGACTTGAGTAAATGTCATCACAACACTGTCCTTGTCTTTGTAAACCAGTCATGTAACTTTGGCCTACATCAGGAAGAAGGAGTGGCATCAGTGTGGTTTAAACTGGTCCGTGTGATGCACGCCTACCAGTAAACAGACGTGCAGTATGTTTATGATGGGATGTTCACCACAGGGACGCTGTACATTGAACAATACTGGCACATATTTGTAAATAGCACTTTAAAATGTAAGAAAT